TTTTACATTTCTAAATAGGTACGTTTTAAATGTTATTAATTACCTACAAAATATCCTTGGTTGTTGCCTCACAGCTCTCAAAGCCTAAAATATTTACAATCTGGTCCTTTAAGAAAAAGTTGGCTAACCCCTGGTCTAGATAACTAAGGCATGGAACATTTTCCCTTATTTTAGACTTTGAACCATTATAGCTTGTACATAAAGGTTAAAACTTGGGATTTATTAGTCATATTAATATTAGTCATATTAATAAAGGGGTGCAGGTTGAAATGTCACTGCAGAGTTTCCAAACAGTAACTATCACTCAGATTAAAGCAATTGAATACTTTGAAACACAGACCCAAACCATTGGCTGTGATGCCCGGGGAGGCGCTGCACTTGTGACAGCAGCCTAGGAAAGATGCGACAGCCACAACAATGCTCTTCCATGTGCCTTCTGATGCATCCTGAAACGTTGGAAGCTTCATCTAGTTTTGGCTTGAGGCCAAATGTGGTTGAAAGAAGCTACGGGATAAAAAGTTACTTTTTGCTATTGACACAGCTGCGACTTCTATTCAAGGAAACGCATTCTTTGGACATTCCCACAGAAAATAAGAATGGTAATAGCAACTGTATCAATTAGCAAGAAAAGAGTCATGGTTTCTTATTTGTGTTTGGGCAGGAAATTGAATCTTTCCCTTAAGAGAAAGTTCCTCCTTTGTGTTACATACAAAAGGTAAGTAAGTCTAAGTAAAATGACCTAACATATGAAAGAAACCCAGAAGTGTTACTTTAGGCATTCTTTTAAAAGGAGAACAAATGATAGGTGATAACTGTACTGTATTTTTAAAGGATAAAACAGCCATTTTCTAATATCAAGAAAAAGAGTATCTAAAATGGTCAAGAAATTATTCTGCATTTCCCCCTAGATACTCTATAACAACAAAGGCATTGTTACAGAACAGACAAGGGGGGCCTGGGATGATATACTATTATTGAAAGAAGGCCTCGGGTCCATTATGTCCGCCGCCCTAGGAAAGACGTCTCTCAATGCCAGGTATTTGTGAAAAGGAAAGGAAATGTTTATTTAATGCTATACTAACTTAAAGTAGTAACCTAATGTCTTTATCAAAAATCCCAAAGTCCCCAAAAACACCCACAGACACACAGTCCTTCCTTCCTTCCCCCTTTGCCCAGTCCAGAGTACCGTATCTCAGGAAAGGAAATAGAAGTCCATGGCTCAGGCAGTCCTCTGGTTATTCCCAGTTAGTCCTCCATCTCGACTGGGAGACCTTCCTGGGTTCCTGGCACCCTCCACTGAGTCGCCGGGATCTCTGCTAAAACCAGGTGGTGGTTCCCCCTTCTAAAGCTGCGGGGGTCCCCACTCTGGCACAGGCACGTGGTCCTCTCTCCCCGGGCCACAGGAGTCTCCACTCTGTCAAGGCTGCGTGGTTCTCCTCCTCTGGGATGTGGGAGTCTTCACTCTGCCAAAGCCACGTGGTTCTCCTTCCTCAGGGCTGCGGGAAGGGAGAGTCCCCACTCTGTCCAAAGCCGCGTGGTTCCCCCTCTCAGGGATGTGGGGGTCTCCACTCTGTTAAAGCTGTGTGGCTCTCTCTTCAATGGCCGTAATCTTCTCTGCACCTCCACAGTCACATGGCTCTCCTTCCTAAAGCAGCAGGGTTCTCCCCCTCCCAATGGCCGCCAAGTCTGGGTTTTAAATCCCCGCGGCCAATCTTCCTCTGCAGCCTCATTTCCGACTCCTCCCACACTTGGCTTCACATGCCAGAACTCGTATCCTTCCAGCTTTACTGGGCTGCCATCATGAGTCTGGGCAGGCGTGGCTCCATGTCCTGGAGTCAATCATCTCCAAGCTCCCACGCAGGCGCTGTAACTCGGGGGACCTGCCCCCCCCCCCCCAGTTACGTCTTGGTGGGGAAGTTACTTCCATTCCCCTGGCTCAGGGCATGGCCATAGCTATTTAACATATCTAAGCGACCAGCCAAAGGCTATAGATAGATATGTTAAATGACCACACCAGAGCTTGGCTGCAAGGCTGTTGCTATGCAAAACAGCTCTCAATGGCCCTGCTTCATTTGTCCCTTCTCCCAACCCACACCGTGGGGGGGGGGCGGGCGGGGCGGGGAGACATCTTAAAATCTCCTGGACACCTTAAGTTCTGGACCCCATTTCAAATGCCCATTTGGGGTCCCCCCTCTTGGCTGCACCCTGTAACAGCATTACAGACATTCACCCACTAAAATATCTTGTAATCTATCCTGTAAGCCTGTAAAATATTCTTTAATGTGGATTTGGTTCAGTAGGTTAGTCAGTGTATCAAGGGCAGAGTCTGTTTTATTTCTCGTAGTATGCCTCTGCATAAAATGAATGAGATTTCCCCAGAGGTCTGCTCCTAAGCCAGGTGGCATATTTGCCCCTTGCTAACATCTGAAGACTTAGTCAGACATTTGGGGGTATAATGTACTTGTTTACAATAAAGTGAGTATCATGAATGGCCATTTAACTTAAACTGTCAACATCGAGGGCAAGATTAATTTCTCTAAAACATGTATTGGTGTCTGATGAATATAAAATGTCTTGTAAAAATTAGCCAGGGAATAATAAAACAGAACTTTAAATTATATATAGTAATTTATAGATACAAACTCTAAATTCCTATATATTAAAGTCTGGCTGCAAATTTTCTCTTTTTTTAAGAGAGTAAGAAACACGGGGGTGTTTAGCATAGTCAAAGTTTCAATTCACATTCCTTAAAACTAAGCTCCAGAGTTTCTCTGAATATAATATCATGAATAATAGTAAGTAATCAATCTACTTTAGAAATGGAACTTCTCGAAGACCAGACTAATAATTACAATTTATCGAATATAGAATTTTATTAGTGCCAAAATGTAAAAAAACAATGTGTTTGGCAAAAAGAAATGACTTTAGATATCTGATTTGAGATGCTGAAGAAGGCCTGGAACAATTATGCAGCAAGGGTGGTAGGTTTCAGGATTGGGAGTTATTAACCAATCAGGGATGAAACAAGAAATATATAGTAACAGCCACTAGCATGTATCTGACAAATTATGACATTGTTTCCTACCTGTTTTCTAATGCCTGACTGGATCTGAGCCAGGTTAATTACTGGCTTCGACTTTTCACAAAATTCTGTTCATGTGCCACTCAATGAAAGGTGTATTTCTGGAGAGCTTACAAAAATGCCAGTCTGTAGTTACAGCAGCTTTCCAATTACTGCTCAACCAGATTGTAAAATTTTAACGTGGATTATATAACATATATTAGACAACATCATTGGTATGCAATGACACCACTGTTCCACAGTTCCAGGGAACTGCACTGGGGCTATTTTTAGTAGTGTCATTGTGAAAGATCTGCACTGAGGGTAGACCTTTCCTGACCAGTCCTCCATTATGACCAATGGCAATGACTCTGTAAGATTGCCAGCAATAAAGAATGGTTTTGTCCAAAGTCACAGTACAGACCCATGGCTCACATGTGGCCTGAACTATGACCATCCCCTCCCAGCACGCCCCAGTCTAGCACACACACACCCCTGCTGAGGGCTTCCTGCATACCACCGCAGCCACCTTCTTCATTCTAAAGCAAAATGCCCAAAGGGTGTTACATTGGTTCATTCCTGGCAAGTTAATGTTTCAGCAAGATCACATGTGCTTGGATCATGATTCATCGATTTCTCAAATTCGTCATTTGATAAAACTAAACTTTGTTTCACATATTTTTCCTGTACAGTAATGTTTGAATGATTTCAGTAGGGAGATGCTAGGATCAGCTGAATAAAGTCCTAGGGAAACATTAGTATCCAGAGATAAAGTTGCCAAAATATGACAGCTCAGGTTTGGTTATAGTTTGATCAACTTTTAGATTGAAAATTAGTTTCCTGATTTTGCGTTCCTGGTACCACGTCTAGGTGGTTCTAAAACCGAGCATCACTTGTCATCATGTGTTGAATATTATCATTTTTGTCTCTCAGTACTTTTTAATTATGATACAAATTCAGGTTAGAATGACTTATATAGTTCCAAGAGTTCCTTAAAACACAATCCACTGCATAAATGTGATTTCCTTTCTCTCAGTCTTTGAAACACTGAAGGTTTGAGTTTCTGACGCAGGTTACAAGCTAATAGGCCTTCAGGAGGAAGGAACCAATGAGAGGCTAGCAATTAACATTTGAGGGTTTACGTGCTGGACAGTCCATATGTTCCTTTAAACTTCACAACCACCCTGCTGGGAGGCACCCCATTGTACAGAGGCACCTGGGATAGTGGTGGTGGTTACCATAGTACAACTTGCCCAAAGTCATACCATCTAGGGAGTGGAGGGGCAGGGTTGTCACTTGCATCTGACTCCCAAACCCTAAAACTTCCAGGCCTGACCCCAATCTTGTGAGACCTGCTCCTCCCGGAAAAACGAATCCGGTTACGCAAGTACAAGAGTATAATCCTTTCTCAGGAAGTGGCCGCAGGTTGGAGCCTCCAACAGCGGCCAGATCTTTTGCGTTTCCGCCGCCCGCGGGCTGCATGTGATTCAACCTCTAAATACCCCAGCTAAATCCCAACGGGGCGGGGGGCGTCGCACCCTCCCCACATTTGCGTTGCAGATGCAGCTACTTCAACTTTCTGGAACTTGGAGCCTATTTCCAAAGACCCTGAGAGGTTCCGAGCCCCCATATTTGCGTTGCAGATGCGGCTACTTCCACTTTCTGGAACTTGGAGCCTATTTCCAAAGACCCTGAGAGGTTCCGAGCAAAGCCGAAGCAGGTAGACGGAGCCTCCAAGCCCACAACCGAGGGCGTGGGACGGCCGCGACCTCCACTACCCTTCCTCTCCTGTGCGGGCCCTCCGCTCCCTTCCCCAGCCAGTCAGGGGCGGGGCGGGGCGCGGGCGGAGGGCGGGGCCGGGTGACGCGAGATTGGGGCCCGGGAGGCGCAAGGACGCGGGTCCACTCACGCTGCTCGCTCCGGAGGCGGCAGGCGGTAAGGCTGCTCCTGTCGGGGCCTTCCCCCCGGAGTTGGGCCCGGACTCTCAGGAACCGCTTACCGCACGGACCTGGAAGACCTCTGCCTTCGTCATTTCCTGCCGGCCCGTCGGTTTCCGGATAAAACAAGGAATCAGGTCTTTCCTTCCCCGCCCCCCTCAGCCCCCTTTTCAATTTTTGAACGGGAGCGACGCAGCGACGGCCCGGTGCCGCCCCCGCGCGTGAGTGGAGCCGGGCTCCCTTCCCCTCCCCCTGCTGCGCGCGTCACCGCCCGGCCCCGCCCCCGGCCCCGACCCCCGCCTGGACCGAGCGCTGTCCTCCGCTAGTGTCCGGCGCTAGACCGTCGCCCCCGCGGGAGGGCGGGTCGGGTCGGTTGGGTGGGTAGGGTCCCGCTGGGGCTTCTTGTGGTGGTGGGTCTGGCCACCCTGCCTGGAAGTCCACGTGGACCTGGCCGTGGTGTGCTAACCCCCCGGCTGGAAGTAGCGGGCACGGGTCATTGCCCCGGAGTGCCATGCCTCTTCCCACCGGTTTCCCTCGCGCCCCGGGCATGATTCTAGGTGTGGGAGGGGGAATGTGCATTGTCCTGCGAATCGAGATGAGGCTGGGAGACACAAAAATTTACTTTTTTCATAATGAGGGCATAGGGTTAGTTTTAATCCTTGCCTTAATATTTATTTAAGAAAGCTTATGCTCTCCAAACTGTCTTCATTTTCCGTATGATAATGAACATTGCGTGGCTGAGACTGTTGAAGTGCTTTAAAAAAACTGGGTGCTGTAATATTGAAAGTTTAAGTGACTTGCGTATTTAAAAAATTTCATGTGGGGACGTGAAAAATATAGTATTTTCTAGCATGAGACAGGTAGTGAATTTATGTAAGATTCCAGTATTCGTATTGAAGTTACAGATCTCAGTGGTTGGTGCAGCCTTGCAAATAAGTGGCCATTTTTCCACGTGCTTGAGGTCTTAACTGTTCCTTTTGAGCTAGTTCTCTAGGATCAGCTGACTGCTAATTATAATTCATGCTAGACCGTGTAGAGGTTTTATTCTTAATTGATAAGCAGAGATAAGAGCTAATATTTAACACTATCCATTAGGAAGTTTTCTCTGCTTCTTTGTGGATCATTTTGTTGCAATTAAATTCACCTTTGTCTAGATGAAGTGCATTAGTTGGTACAGTAACATACTAGCTTTATTTATATAGTATTAATGCATGTTAGCTTGTATGTATTATATACATAATTATGTATTATTTTACAACCATTCATTGTGACTATAAAGTTGGAAAATTATAAAAGTAACAGTGGGCAGTGTTGACTACTGATTGTTTGCCAGGCCTGTGCCAAATGGTCTACATACTTTATCATATTTAATCATTCAGGATAACTTTTTGCATAAGCATAGGTTGCTCAAAAATATTTGAATATGTGAGTTTGATTCGAATGTGTCCAGGTGTGGAATATGTACATTGATTACTGCTCTGTTTCTGGTTTTGTAAATTAAGGATGTTGGCAATATGTAATGACTTATAGAGTAAATTAATATGTTTTTCAAACTGGAAGATGGCTTTAAAATTGCATGGAACTGCAGTTAGTCCTTTTGTTTGAGTATTTGGTAGTTTCCAAATTCCCATTATGTATCATTGTCACCCAGTGAACAGGTGATGCTTGGACATTGGAAAAAGGTAAATGTTGGGAAAGCCTTAATGGCCCCTTCTGAACGGCTTCTCTCCATATCCAGTTTCTAAGTGACATTCCTAGTTAAGGGTTAACAAATGACAATGAAACAGGAAGAGTAATTCTCCAATACCAAATCAAGGAAATAAAAAACAATGGGCTGGTTATTACTTTGTTGATTAAGTCTGACATTCATGGCTATGAGTGTTAAGAATGTAATTTGTATGCAGGGGGTCTACTTAATATTTCAGTTTGCCTGTAAACATCTTAAACATGTTCAATGTCAAGTCCAGTACTTTGTGCATTGAGAAGTTAAGTTTTTGGTTGGATTTAATGCGGCTGTTTTGACTTCCTTAAGCAAGAAGTTTATTTTGACCGTGTTTCCACAGATATAATTTCATGATTTATATAGGCATAACAATGACGAGAATGATGGTGGGATCCAACAGTTTGCTTCTTGTGAGAGTAGAAGTAGTTTAAAAGGATGAGGGAAGTACTTGAAAATGTGTCTTATTTGTGCCTAGAGCCCATTGGACTTTATCTACCTTGTGATCCTAGTGGTCCATCATTGGCATTGACGAGGAAAAAAATTGAGAACGCTTTGCCAGTCAGTATTTATAAGAGAGTTCCTTCACCTAAAGGCATTCTCTCTGGGGAGGGGACGAATGGAAAGTTGTCATCAGTGGGAGGGTGTAAGAAGACGAAGCTGTACGTGTGTTCTTTTGGAGTTAATAGTTGCACCCATCATGACTAACTGATTCTTGCCACCACATTCGTCTGCAGGCACTTTCCTGGTAGGTACTCAGTATTTGTAGGCAGCCACTTGGAGGTGAAGTAAAAGAAGGAGGGGAGGTGATGGAGAAAAAGCACAAGGTATAGAGCAAAGCATTAATAGGTTACATTTGGACACAATTTAGGAGCTGGGCCTTCACAGCTTATATTACGGAAACTGTTCAGATAAGATTGACTGTAGGTGTTTGTAAATCTCAAACAAATGTTACTTGTATCTAGAAATATGGTGAATACCCCTTTAATGTGCTTCATAAACAATGGGACATTTTAGGTGCAGTACATGGGAAGTTACTGAATTTTTCATTGCAGCCATTTCTGTATGTCATTGTTAGAAAGCCAGAGTGACCCGTAATGCTAGCATTGGCTCCTGTTTGTAAGGTATTTAAGCAGTGTTGTGTTTCATTGGGTTGGAAGGCAAGTCCTTCTCATTCCTTACTTCCAAACTTGGCTCTCACATGGAGTGCCTTTTAAGCTTCCAGAGTTCAGGGACCTTCTCTCTGCCGTTCATTGCCATACCCCTAGAGACTAGCATATGGAAGGTGCTAAGTAATATTTGTGAAATGGACAAAAATACATTGGAACCTTCTCCCTTCTTTCCACTAGTGAAGGTACCATTAGGTGCGGGGCCTCCATTCTTACCCTCTCTGTGGTGTCTGCAGCCCGTGATGAGTCCTTTGGATGTTAGCTGCTTATTTTAGTTGGACAAACATTGTGTACACATGTGAACAGTATGAGAATTTGGAGCTAAATAAAAAAGTAATAATAATAGCTGACATTTATGTAGGGCTTAAAATGTGCCAGACACTGTTCTAGGTGCCTTTACATGTTAATTTGACTCTCACAACAATTCTTTGAAATAGGTACAATAATAATCCCATTTTTCAAATGAGGAAACCGAGGCACAGCAAGGTAATGAAGTTATTTGCCAAAAATCACAACGCAGGTAATGAGCAGGGAGACACTGAATATGAACCCAGGCAGTCTGGCTCTTGAGTCAGTGGGTTCCCCTGGGGAGTTTTACTTTATCAGAGACAGAAGAGAGATCTAAAAGTTGACTTGACTTTCTCAGCTATAAAAGGGTACTCTTTTTAAAATTTCAGAGTAGCATAAAAGATTGCAGTGACTCTGAACTGCAGAAATAATGCTGCATTTTTCAATGAGCCGAGGTTGGTAATGAAGTGTTTAAGGGGACATTGAAATGAGAAACTGAATTTTGAATCTCAAAGCTGAGTAAGGACTACATGTAACTTTTTTTAGGTATGGAATTCTAAAACAGTAATTTACCAGGACATAGGCCAGTGACTGTTTAACTTAGTGTCAGAAAACTAATGTGAAATAAAATAATATTGAATGACACTTAATATCTTGCTATTTTTCTTTTTAAAACACTAGAATTAAGCTGCTAGCAGTAGTAATTTACCAGAATATGTGTTGTTAATGGTTTCCTGTGTACTCTGTCCATTCTCTTTGTTATTTGAAATCTTGAAGTCTCAATCCACTTTTTCAGCTTGTCTTGGGGCCAGGAGGCCTCTTCAAACCAAGTAATATTTCTTTGGCGGGAAAAGCCCCCATAAAATTATGCTGTTGGTTTGGTAACAAACCTGGAGTGAAGTCATTTTGAAGCTATATGGAATTAGACAACGGCCTACACACAGAATCCGGCGAGATGAAGAAAAACAGTGTTCTCTGAAATCCCAGTTTCGTATCCCTTTATCAGGAGCCGACGGTGTTATTTTGGGGGTGCTGGGCATCAATAGAGTCACTGACTCTAAATAACTGCACCGATGGGGGAATTCGAACGTCTCCCCACCCACAGCCCAGGAATCGGAGGAGGAAGGGCCCTAGAGTGAAGCATGGGCCGCAAACCTGGTTGGCAGCCAGGGAGGACACGCACTCTGCAGGTAGAGTATTCTGAGTGCTACAGATTGCCTCTGCTGGGTATGAGGTCATGTCCTTTGCCTTGGGGATAGTTTTATAATTTGAGTCAGTGAGGAAATGACATTTGCTGCTGTCATTTGAACATCAGCATATAATTTGGGATGGCCTGTCACAGAAGCAGTTTATAACTGTGAATATTGTCCCACAATCTTGTTCTGTGCAAATACCTGAGGAAAACATTTGGAAAATTTGGGTTAAAATCTGTATTGAAGATTTTATCCAATTGGCATGTTAGCTTTAATTGTAAGCTCTTCTCTGAATGGAGGGGTTTAGGCAAAGAGAAGGTGATACACTGATGCATATTTTAAGCCTATCAAGCTGGATTATTTAATGGAATCTGTGCTGCCCCACTTGATGAATTTTAGGGCTGCAGAACTGGATCCTGCACACGATCTGGTGTGGTGGTTCTCTAAGTAGGAGTGTATGTCAGAGTGACCCAGGGTTTATAGTGAAAGGAACGGGTGTCATAGCCTGACCCCAGCAGTGTGGCCTGAGCACCTGTATTTTAAACCACGTGCTCCTTTAAGAAGAACCAGCCCTGTATTTTAGAAGAAAATTGGGGTAAAGTCAGATGACTATCTTATAGCTGGTTCATTGGTACCAAGATTTTATTACCAGATATGTAATTTCACAATTTTATAGCTGAGAGAAATTTTTTAGGTCAGTTTAGTAGCCCATTTTATAGCTCAGTTTAAACCATGCTTGTTCATGCCATTTCCAAGTAAAATGTGAATGTAGAGAAATAGTATTTTCTTGCTCATCTTCTGTCCTGGCCATGGTAAAATTCAAAAAAGATGATCACCAGAATTTCTTTACAATTTTAACTGTTTTTTTTAAATTAATTTTAGGAACTGTCAATTATTTGGAGCGTTTTTTTATTATATACCCTGTGATGGCCTCTTAAATTTTTAGGGAAATACTTAAAGTGAAGGATTAAAATTTTTTATTTGAATTACTTATTTTTCCATCTTAGCTGAAATGTAGGAGAGAAATGTGAGGATTTGCACTGCTTTTTTTAGAGTTTGTATTTTTAAATGTGGCTGATTTTTAACTTTTTTTTTTTTAAGGCCTCTTATATTGGAAACGGCACAATTTGGCTTCCTTGTCATCTTTGAGTATGAGAGAGAATCCTAGTTTCAGCATGTCCTCAAGAGAGACCAAAGAACCAGGTTCGTTCTTTCAAGACGTCTGCTAAGGGCTGTGGAGCAGCACCCATTTCCAGAAGTAAATCATAATGTCAGATACCTGTGAATGGACTGTATGGCCAAGACACTCATTAAGATATTCATGGAAGAATGGCAAACAGCTGAAGAAATGGCAGATTTCAAGAAGTGACCCCTGTGTCTTGTAGGATTTTTGAGCAGCCGAAAGAAGATAGTTCTGAAAATGAGTGACAAAACACTAGCATATTTCTTGACATGTTTCTTATCTTTGTTAACCCATCTGCTTTTGTATACACTATTTTCGTTATTTTCCTCTACTGCAATAGCTAGGAATATACTTACGATCAGAGTTTTATTCTCTGTGGATAAAGAACTAGTAGATATAATAAGAGAAATAGTAAAATGTATTGGGATTTTGACCCCTAGAAATTGACTTTCATTGAATAATTACTAGAAGTGCAGGATGTTGATTAATTGCTTTTTCATAATGGTGTGCTGCTGTCGCAGACTTCGCAGACTTTGCAAATTTACATTCATCTTTATCTACTCTGAGGCTCTGGGTGTGCCTCCTTATTTCTTGAACAATCTTTTAGACCAATGACCTTATCTTTTCTTAGTATAAAAATAAGAATTATATTTTTATAACTAGACCTTTGGTCTGGTTGCTCTTTCACCCTGGTTTATTTTCTGGGATCAAGATTACAATTGCCATTCTTACTCAGAGTTGTTCTTTGCTATTTTTAAGTTCTTGGTTAATGTTTTGTTTTCATTTACTGTTTCTAGATGGAAATGAAGGATGAACTGTTTTCAGTTACCTAGGAGACCAGAATAACATAGGTAGTAAAAATCTATAGAGAATTTATAGCACATCTTAACTGTTACGATTTTAACCTTGTTTTAAGCTTCCATCCAACAACTTCTTAGTGGGGATCTCTCCCAGGGCTGACTGATAAATGTGTACGTGCACATGCATGCACACACATGCACATGCACAGAAGGGGTGAGAGAGAAGGAGGGAGAGGGAGAAAGCTTTTGTAATTAACTGATGTTGGTCATTATGGTCATTAATGTGTTGGTGTGAAAATTAGTTTGTCAGAGCTAAGATAATTAACTGATACAAGTAAATTTTATTGTTTTCAGCTCTTTCTTTTTGCAGCTAAGTTGACATCATCAAGAATTTTCTCCTCTGTACGTCGAGGAAACCTTTATTCTTACGTATCAAGTCTTACCCAACAAAGAGAAATTTAAGCCTACAAACAGATTTAAACATTTAATTTAATAAAGCGAAATTCCAGAAAAAAACTTTAAGAATATTTTCTTTCCTCAGTATGCCTTTTTTACTTCACCCCTTTAACTTCCTTTCTACCCTATCTGCTTATCACCTGGTCTCACTTTCACACCTTTTTTTCATCTGTCCATATTTTCTTGTTTGGTGTCTTTGCATTTTGCTCACTTCCTGCCTTTTCCATGATTCACCCTCATGTTGAAAATGCGTTCCAATCTCATTACTCTTTATTTCCTTGGGCATTCCTCCTTCCTAGGCTGTTACCTCTGGGCTTTTCTTGTTGCTGCATTTTGTAATCCAGCTCCTGGCATCTCTAGCTCCTGCCTGATTTACCCTTCACCTCTGTCCACTTCACTTCTCATCCACCTACATTCTAGTTTTCATCTCTGGTCAGTGGTGATCTCTTCTGCCACCTCTGTCTACTTCTGTCTCTATAGCTCACTGATCTGTTATGTGTTTTGTCTAGCTCCGATTACTTCTCATCTCCCAATTTACGTTTTCTTCCTGTACTTTTTAGCCGATGTGCATTTGTTCTGTCCCTGGGCAGTAGGTATTACTAGATGGATTTGTTGTCAGTATTTGCAAAGAACACAGACCCTTGCTGTGTATTTCCTGGTTGGCCAGGATGAATCAATTATTATTAATTTTTCTTGGAATGTTGAACTTCCTGTGTTTTCTGCTTCTAAGAATTAGGTTGGTATTCTAGAAGACAAATACTACTTTAAAGAGGGTCAGGACAGTTATATGACACTGCCATTTTAAGTCTTTATTCTAGAGTTCATAATTGAATTCCCTATCTTGTCTTGAAAGATTTAAGACAAGACATCCAAAGCAGGTTTTGGGTTCAGATGGGAAGAGGAAAATAAATACTATAAAGGGATTATAACTGGGAAAATTAAAATTACAAATGACATGCTTTAACAATTATTAAGTAAAAGGTCCCTTAAGAAAATAAGTATCAGGAATTCTTTTAACTGGGTCATCTGTATTTTGATGTTTCCTTTTAAGTTCCAAGACCTTTCTTTAATATTTAACAAAGCAGAAACAATCTTAAAATATTTATTTTATTTTGAGAGGCTTGATATCTCCTTAAATATTAATCTGTATCATTTTGTAATTATATTGTAACATTCTCAAAATTCTGTTAACAAACTACTGTGTAATCTTGTGTGGGAAGCATATAAATTGTATGGCCTTGCCCTTCTGGATTCTATAGTTGTGGTGTAATGAAACTGCAGCTTATTGGAAAAATTTTATTTTATGCTCTTGAGTTACCTTGCCTTTATATTTCCTGTTATCTTTGTATATACTATGAATGTGGCGCTTTCCTGTAATTTAGTTTTCTGTAATGTGTATGAACTGGAGGTAGCCTAACGTGAGTGCAGATGTATAGCTTTATTAAACTTTAAAAAGAAAAAATCTGTACATCACAGAATGTAGTGTCTAAGTTTTAAGAACAGCCGTACAAATTGAGGTTGATCATATTGAATATTCTTTCTTCTGAGCCTTCCTTAACTGTGATGGTAGTTGTTGGGTATCTTGAAGCTAAAGCAATGGCTCATGTTCTGTTAATAGTACCAGGATATTCCCCTCTCATGAGCAGTTAGTAAAAACATCAGAACAACAATTAAACCACTAACAGGAAATTTGTGTGGATGTGCTAAGTACAGGACTATTTAGGTTTACAGAGAACTAACATAGTAGAGAACATTATATAGGAATATAATCTTATTAGCTAGATTCTGTTGCTGCTCAAAGGCTTGGTATTCCCATTTTAAACATGCTTTTATGGTTTTTAAGAAAACTGACCCTACTAAAAAACCTTAGTGTTAACCCCCTCCTTTTTTAAAAAAACAGAAGTTTATTTAGCTTGGTCTATGTGCTGAAAGTAGTTCTCAGTGACTGTCTCTTTCCCATAAATCATATCTGTTTTCAGAGAATTTAAAATTTGCCACAGTTAAGCATATTTGACAAAAATATGCCCCAGGTGTGTTCTGCAGAAGTGACGTCATTGGAATAGGTCTCTGTGGTACGACTGCATTCGGGAAAATGGGAGTAAGGCCTGCTGGTCTTCGGAATGTGTTATAAAACCAGCCTTGGCGTAGTTGTGATCCCAACACGGGATGAAATATACAACCTGAATGTAGTTCTTGGATTACACCTGTGTTTTTGTTGATTTTAAAGGTGTTGGAATGGACTTCCTTCAAGAGAACCTGAACAACGTGCACATTCTGATGTGGTAGAAAAAATTGGCGTAACTATTTAATACTATTTCGCATGTGGCTGCTTGATTTCTTCCCAAAGCAGCAGGTCTTCAAAATGCAGGTCTGTGTCCTAGACCATAGGATAAATCAGGTTGGGTAAACTTTTCACTTGAGTGAAATAGACTCTTCTGATCTTCGTTGTTTGGCTTTGTTGTAAGAGTTCACTAATTCATGGTGCGATTAGACCTGTCTATTGTATTGTGATTTTCTTATTACAAGAGTTGTATTTGGGGTAATTTAAAAATACTAATATTGAGATATACTCCCAGCCCAGAGTTTTGATAAAGGTCAAAATATATGTCTTGTGTAAAACCTCTTTATTAAAGTTCATCAGTTACAATCAGATTTTAAGTAAGTTTAGTTTGTGTTTTATGGCTGGTGTTAATTTGATTTTCATAGATAGGGAAACTGTATTTCCATAGAAAGGGAGACTCAGTGTGTTAATATTCCAAAGCTTAATTTAAGCTGGTAATGATTTTAAAAAGTGACTTTTGCTTGTATTTTCTGGAAGGTTTTCAGTGCTATGGGCATGTTAACAGCAGCATGTTTAATTTTAATCACCAAAACAAACATCTACTTAGCAGAGATGTCTGGGAAATTGCTGCAGATGAGGTATTGGGTTGGCCAAAAAGTCCGATACATTTTTTCCATAAAATACAAGACACATCGTTCATTTTCACCAGTGCCTTATTGATTTGGGTATTTTGAGTACGTTGGCTACCTCCTGCTATTGGCTTCCAGTGGGTGGAGGCCAGCAGTGCTGCTAAACATCTTCCCACGTATAAGACAGCCCCACCCCAGAGAATTACTTGGTCAAAATGTCAGTAGTACCAAGAAACTTCGTAAACTACTTTTGACACATTCAATTAGTCATAACACCTCCTTCACACACTGCACAAATTTTTTTTACATTTCAGTTGTGTTTTTACCTTACTTGAAATAAAAATATGCTAAAAACATTGCATATTTTCTTCCATCTTCAATATTAAAATGGCTGCCCTAAAATTCACCTGTTTTGGTAAGTTTTTTTTAATGCATCCTTATATGACGGCTGTCATAATACATTCTAACAAAGTTGTTTTGAATGAAGTTAAAGACAACGAAGCACTTCTAAAGCCATCGTATGGAAAACCCAACAACTTTTTGGCCAAACCAATAGAATGAGCTGAGGTACTGGTTTTGTCTTTCATTGCTCCCTATTACAATTCTTTGAGAAACTAATTTTTTTATAATGTTTTATCTTTCTTGGATTTTTGAATTACTGTTGACCTCAATCCAGTTACCATTACAGAGCCTGGATAGGGTCAGGCTCTTGACACACATGGAACTCTCTGCTACTGCTTTTGTGATTTTCTAATAAAGTTTGATGTTATGTAATAGATTTTATGTAATAATATTTGTGTATCATACATAATGTGTTTATATTGATAAATAAGTGAATAAATGTTAGGGCAGTT